AAGAATTAAGTTGTGAACCCAGGCACCATTATATACAGAACTCAGCTGTACAATAAAACGACAACCTAATTCTGAAAAGGGGAAAAGTATTTGAACAGATATCATTAGTGATCTGAGAGATGCAAATCAAAATCACAGTGAGATACCACTTTATATCCAATAAAATGGCTAAAATAAAAGTGACAGATAATAAAAATGTTATTTATGATGTGGCGAAAACAGAAGCACACCCTGCTTGTAGTTTTGTAAAATGGTACCGTTATTTTGAAAAAATCTGACAGTTCCTTGGGTTAAACATAGTATTACTATAACTTAGAGGTTGGATCTACCCAAGAAAATTGAAAACATATGTCCACACAAAAATTGGTTCGTGAAGCCAGGCACTATAGTCCCAACACTTGGGATGTTAAGGCAGGAAGATTGTGAATTCAAGGCCACCCTGGACTAAATGTTAAGTTTGAGGCCAGCCTGGACTAGATAGTGACAACTTCTCTCAAATACAAATTTTGTTGTTGTTCATGAGTGTTCATAGCATCCTAGCCAAAAAGTGGAAATAACTGTTACATCAAATAATATCTAATATATTCATAGTTAAATATTTTTGGCAGTAAAAAGTAACGATATGTGCTACAATATGTGTAAGTGTGGAAAATTATGTTGAGTGAAAAAAGTTGGACAAAAAAGACAACATATTGTATGATTTCATTATATGGAACGTTCAGAATAGGCAATTCCATAGGGGCAGAAAACAGATTAGTGGTTGCCTAGGTGTAGGTTGGGGAAGGGACGGATGGATAGGGTACAATACGTAGTGACTACGAATGAGTTATAGGGGCTTTGGGGGGTATAGTGAAAATATTCTAAAAATGATTGTGATAATGGTTGCATAACTCTAAATATACTGAAAACAATTGTAAACTTTAAATGAGTGAGCTATATATGATCATGAAGAGTATGTCATTAAAGCTAATAAAATTCATACAAATGGGGTTAGTGTAGCTCAGAGACTGGGTTCAATCTCTTAACACTAAAAAAGAGTCTTAGAAATTTAATTAATATTTGGAAATTATAAGCAGATCATTTACAATCACAGGTTAAAAAATTACAAAGAAAAAGTCGTAATAGTTGGCAGATCAAGGTGAAAAGAGTATAAGAAAATTCATTTGTTTGTTTAATTCTATCTATATCAGGTTAAATGTCACCAGTATTGGCCAGAACCCACAGGAAGTTCATCCTATGGATGTTACCAAGTCACCTGCCACTCCGAAGAAGGAAACCCTGCCTATATCTTCAGGAAGATGACACTATTTAACCAAGAGGTAAAAAAAAAAAAAAAGCAGGATATCATTCACTAGAGATGTTGTATTCAAGATAGATTTTGAAAGTTGAAAAAAAATTTTTAATATGAGTGCTAATTATTAAGAAATACTACAGAATTACTTAACTATTTATCTACCTCAGTGGGATACTTTGAAATTTTATGAGGAATATTTCCCTGAGTCATATAAATGTATTTCCATTTCTGTCACTAAATATGAGTAGTCAATGAGAAAGGAGTCTATAAATAATATTTACTAGTAATTTGCCTATTCATAGCTATTATACAAAGAATGTATTTGGTTATAAAAAAAATTCTTACTCCGAGTGCTCTCAGTAGAGAATTTGGGTATGACTGTGGAAACAGAAAAAACAATTGAAAGGTGCCAGTTTTTTAAAGAGTAAAAGATAGCAACTTCACAGTCCCTTCACTATTAAGAAAGAGAAAGTCCTAAGCAGGATCTTTGACAACAGAGCTTTCTAACTTCCAGTTCTTAATTCTACCTGGATCACTGCCCTGTCTTCGAAAGCCAAAAATGGAACCTGATTAATAATGATGACTCAGTGTCCCTATTAAAGATGTATATAGAAGGCACAGCACTGCTAGTATTGTGAGGCGGCTGTGAACTGTGTACAACACAGTCATTGTCCACAGCTAGATGTTCCCTTGCCAGCCACCTGTGATTTCTGAAAGGGACCAAAAGAAAAAGGAAATAACTACTTGAGAGCAAATAACACAGGCTATAAGGGTCCAGTCCTCTCCTAACAAAAGTTAAGCCTTTAGAAATAGGAATTACACCGTCTCCAAGGATACGCTTACAGAAGACCAGTGAGACAGGGCCTTTCTGACTGCAAGGAAAGGAGCCAGAAGTTGTGCTCATTTAAGAAAAAGGAATGTGGCATTGAATGATGCCAAAATGACAAGAGTTAAAAAGTTAAATTTCATTCAAATGAGAAGAATTTCAAGCTTAGGAACATACACTTTATAGCTCATGGTATAATGCAACAAATCAAGCCTATAAGATATTTTCCAAATAGATAATGAAAAATGACTTTATAATCTTGGCATATGATGCCAAATAGCGGGTAATATACAGATCTTCTCGTGAAGTCTTTTCAACATAAGACTGTCAGCTCATAGAGGTATAAATGTCATTTCATTTTTCAAGAAGAAATTGAGATTGAAATTATTGCACACCGTAACCAGCAGAGTCATGATTTGAGTCAAGCTGTATCTAAACCCAGTGCTCTTAGTCTGTTCATAGTACCAGTCTTTGGCTTGATGTTTTTATGATCTCTCCCAGTACATATGTATATATGTATGTTTGTATGTTTGTATATATGTATGTATGTATATTAATTACTGGGGATTTAATCCAGCATCTTTACACTGAACTACCTCCCAGCCCTTTTTTAATTTTGATATAAGATCTCACCAAATTACTAAATTGCCCAGGTTGGGTTTGTATTTGTGATCCTCCTGCCTCTCCTGTCCAAAGTGCAGGCAAAAAAAACCCCACCTCTGGCTTTTAATATACATTTATTTGAAGAGATTTTTTTCTAAAATTTCATCTCTGTCCTATCAGGATTATCTCAATTTTGTTCACAAAAAATGTTTTTTATTTTACCATTCTTGTTTACCCAGCAGTTCTTTAGTTAATCTTTAAGCAGTTCTCTGCATCTTAATTTAATTTTGCCTGTTTATTTTATCTTAAAAACACAAAGAAATTGAGGTAAAGAGAGGGTAGTGATAATAAATAGCCAATACTTAAATATATACAACTGTTTATATAAAATGGTTTCTTAGCTGGGCAAGGTGACATACACCTGCAATCCCAGCACTGGGGAGTTGGAGGCTAAAAGAGTGCCATGAGATTAAGGCCAGTTTGGACTATATATTGGGACCTTGTTTCAGAAAAGCCAAAATAAAATAAAGTAGGTGTCTTACTTTTTATGGAAATGTAGGGTTTTAGTGGATTACAGTATTAGGGGAAAAGTTGTTTTTTCTTTCCTTCTGAAATTAAAATGACATGAGTACTGTATTTATTTATAAAGATAATTCCTAAGTCAAGATGTATAATTTTTCATTTACACTTAGAAAAATGAAAGTCGTCAACTCACTCAGATCCAGTACATAGCTTGGCCTGACCATGGAGTCCCTGATGATTCAAGTGACTTTTTGGACTTTGTTTGTCATGTACGAAATAAAAGGGCCGGAAAAGAAGAACCTGTTGTTGTTCACTGCAGGTATTTATTTCCTGTTGTGTATGAGTGAATAACTGACAAAATATATCATATTTAAAATATCATACATACATTATTGTGTCTTCATGTTGTAACCGTTGTTGATCATTAGGACTCAAAAGCTGTGCTCTGAAGATAGAAGGCAGAGGATATTCTAATAACAATTGGCAGAAACTTTATGAGAGATAAAAATAATAGATATCAGTGCGGTGTGATGATGCACCTTTAATCCCAGTGCTCTTGCAGACTAAAGCAGTAGGGTCACAAGTTCGAGCCCAGCCTTAGCAACTTAAAAACTTAGTAAGACCCCATCCCAAAATTTAAAAAAAAAATTTTTTTAAAAGAGCTGTGAATGTAGCTCAGTGCAAAGGCTCTGGGTTCAATCCCTAGGACCACAAAAATAATATAAAACTATTCCACTGATTTTTAGAAACTTCATTTTTAATATGTCTGAAATTGGAACATGTCTTGTAATGGATAGTAATTTAGATCTGATAAAATACAGTATTATAGGTTATCTCTTTGGTACTATAACAAAATACCTTTAATAAGGTAACTTATGAAGAACAAAACTTTACTTCTTGTAGTTCTGGACACTGGGAAGTTTGAGCTGAAGGCTCCTGCAAATTTGGGGTCAGGTGAGGGCTGTTGTCTGCTTTGAAGATAGTGATTTATTCCTACATCTCCTGGGCAACTATGTCTTCGCAGGTCAGAAGGGATGGAAGGAATAGGAGGTAAAACCACTCCTTCAAGTATGTTTTTATATGTGGGCTAATCCCATCTGTGAGACTACCCTTACCACTTAATCACCTCCTACATGCCCTACCTCTTAATATTGTCACATTGAGGATTAAGTTTCAACATGTTAATTTTGAGGCACATGTTCAGGTCCTAATATAGGCACCCTTCAGGGGACTCCTTCCTTATGTCATTCCTCTTAAAGATATTTATTGAGTTACCCCCAAGGACTCTAGGTAAACACTGGTAGGCTACTGCTCCTGCCCTTCAAACCCAGATGTCCCTGTTTTCCCTGCAAAAAACAAGTGCAGCCTTCACTGCCACCCAAAGATTAGGAGCCAAGTTATTTCCTCCTAATATAACTGTTTGTTTAAGTGTTATATTTAGAGGATATATTGATATATGCTTTACCTTTAAACTTTCTAGGACATTTTAAGAGTAGATTTTCAAATCATCATGACAGATTATACACCAAATATTTGAGAGGCAAAGTGACAAGAATGACAAAACATGTTTGTCCATTTCATTTTCCTGCTTCAGTAGCAGCTACATTCATGGTTAAAAATTATACTTCCAGGAGTTCTTCTTGACTATCTCAGTGGTTAAGTTCATTAAAATTAAATTTTGTTTAAAACATTAACTTGACCAGACATGGTGGCACATGCTTATAATGCCAGCACTCAGGAGGCTGAGGCAGGAGAATTGCAGCAAGTTCAAGGCCAGCCTGGGCTACATTGTGAGTTCAGTACCAAACTGAACTGCACAGCAAGACTCTGTGTCCAAAAACAATTAACTTGTTTAAAGCATAAAATACTGGGTTTTTTACACATTTGTTAATTATAATTTATTATAATTCTGTTATTTTGCATTTTTAAGGGAGGCTCCTCAAGTAAATTTTTTTGTTGTTGTTTTTCGGGGGTTTTTTTTTTGCCTTTTTAGACAGGGTCTCGCTATGCAGTTCAGGCTGACCTTGAGCTCACTTTGTAGCCCAGATTGGCCTCGAACTTGCAACAATCCTCCTGCCTCAACCTGCCAAGTGCTGGGATTACAGGCGTGCACCACCACACCTGGCTCAAGTAAATGTTTATACCTTTTCAGAAGTTGACTTGCAGAAAATAGTTAGAAAACTTATATTCTAAGAAATTAGAGAATCTAAAAGAAATGGATAAATTCTTAGACACATGAATTACCAAAATTGAACCAAAAATCTCTGAACAGACTGTGACAAGCAATAAAACAGAAGCAGTAATAAAAAACCCTACCAACAACAACAAAAAAAAATCCAGTGGTTGCACCACTGAATTTTACCAGAACTTCAGGGAAGAACTAACACCAACACTCTAAATTCTTCCATGAAACTTATAGGGAAGGAACACAGCCAAACTCATTTCTTGAAGCTAACTAGCGTTATCCTGGTACCAAAACTGGATGAGAACTCAACAATAAAAGAAAACTATAAGCCAGTTTCTTTAATGAAAATAGATGGAAAACTCCTCAGCAAGATAACTTGCAAACAGAGTGCAGCAAATCATGAAAAAAATCATACATCTTGATCAAGTTGACTTCATCCCAGGGATATAAGGATGGTTCAACATATGTAAGTCAGTAATTACACCACATAAGCAGAAGTAAGGGTAAAAAAATATATAATCATCACAAAGTATGCAGAAAAAGCCTTTGAAAAAATCCACCATCCATTCATAATAAAAACCCTGATGACAATAAGTATAGAATGACCTTCCCTTAAACTGATAAAAGCCATTTATGACAAACCCATTGCCAACATCAGATTAAATGGAGGAAAAACTGAAAACATCCTCCCTAAAGTTATGAATAGGTCAAGGGTTTCCACTCTCATCACTCCTGTTCAGAATTTTGACTAGAGCAATCAGGCAAGATAAAGAAATAAATGGATACAAATAGGTAAAGAGAAGTCATATTGTTTTTATTTGCAGATGACATGATTCTTTACATTAAAAAAAAAACTCAAAACGCCATCAGAAGACTCTTAGAACTAATATAAATGTTTAGTGAAGGAGCTGGGGATTTAGCTCAGCGGCAAAAGCGCCTGCCTGGCAAGCGCAAGGTCGTGAGTTCAGTTCCCGGTACCGGAGAAAAACCAAAAA